CCTGTGCTAGCCTTGGCCGTGTCTTTCATTCCTGTGCTAGCCTTGGCCGTGTCTTTCATTCCTGTGCTAGCCTTGGCCGTGTCTTTTATTCCTGTGCTAGCCTTGGCTGTGTCTTTCATTCCTGTGCTAGCTTGGCCGTGTCTTTTATCCCTGTGCTAGCCTTGGCCGTGTCTTTCATTCCTGTGCTAGCCTTGGCCGTGTCTTTCATTCCTGTGCTAGCCTTGGCTGTGTCTTTCATTCCTGTGCTAGCCTTGGCTGTGTCTTTCATTCCTGTGCTAGCCTTGGCCATGTCCTGTGCTAGCCTTGGCTGTGTCTTTCATTCCTGTGCTAGCCTTGGCTGTGTCTTTCATTCCTGTGCTAGCCTTGGCCGTGTCTTTCATTCCTGTGCTAGCCTTGGCCGTGTCTTTCATTCCTGTGCTAGCCTTGGCCGTGTCTTTCATTCCTGTGCTAGCCTTGGCTGTGTCTTTCATTCCTGTGCTAGCCTTGGCCGTGTCTTTCATTCCTGTGCTAGCCTTGGCTGTGTCTTTCATTCCTGTGGTAGCCTTGGCCGTGAAGAGATACCTGCAGCCACTCTGTCTCACCAAACCCTTTGCTCATCTATCAAGAACATTTTATAGTTTAACTTTTTGTCTTGAGTAATATGTGTATTCAGTAAATCATTCAACAAAAACAGCAGAACTTTAAAAGACAAAACTAGTGACAGACGATTTGGAAGTAAATCTGAATGTGCACTGAGCTCAGTTCTTGGCATTATCACGGGTTGGTATTAAGGGAAAACATGATGAAACATGGATTTTTATTTTTATTAACTTCTTCAAGCTCTGTATTTTTCCAGCCAACAGAGTTTATAAAGAAAAAAATCAAATCTTTACAAGTGGCCAAGGATCTATTTTTGTCTCCTGTTGACTGAAAACAGTCAGATCAATGGTGCGGAGTAATTCTCAGCAGCTCTGGGTAATATCAGCTGCTGTTTGCCTGGCAAAGTGAAGCATCTTGTACAGCTGTTAGCCTGGCATGGTTTGGGCACCATGTGCTGCAGTTAGCATGGCATGGTGTAGGCACATTTTGCTATAGTTAGCCTGGCATTGTTATGGCACCATGTGCTGCAGCTAGCATGGCATGGTGTATTCACATTTTGCTATAGTAAGCCTGGCATGATGTAGGCACATTTTTTTTTGAATATTTAATCTTTATTTTGTATTTTTCTTTTTTTTTTTCTTATCCTTATAAAATACATATATCATACAAATACATAAATCGTACAAATTCACAATACATACAATACACAAACAACATAGCAGCAAAATAGGGGAGGGGAGAGAAAAATACATCATGAAAAAATTTCCATAAATGAGTGGTAAAATCGTTTAAATAAATCTCATACTTATTTACAATGTTCATGGGATTCTCTACTTCCAATTAATCAACATTATTCTCTACGCCAATCATCTCTATACATTTTGACCAAACAGAAACCTTATTGCTCAATCTTTGTTTACTCAGCATCAACTCCATTTTAATCTGAAACTCGAGTTGAGTTTTAACTTTCTTCCAGGGGACTTCTAAGTCCTTTTTCCACCATCTCGCAATTACTATTTTAGCAGCTAAAAAAAGATGTATAAGAATTGCCTTTAACTCGTATGTCATATGAGGCCAATTTAGATGTAACAAAACTACTTCTGGAGAAATTGTCAACTCGAGTTTTAAATTATTGGATATAAAATGTTGAATTTTCAACCAAAGATTCTTCAATTTATGGCAATCCCACCAAATATGTCTAAAATTGCCTCTACTACTATTACATCTCCAACAAATAGAGTTAGTTAGAGGATAAATTTTGTTCAGTTTAGCTGGTACTAAGTACCACCTATTTAAAACTTTAAAGTGAGTTTCTAATAGATTTAATGAGTGTATATTTTTCTTAACATCCATCATTGAAGAACCCCATTGATTCAAATTAATATCAATGTTCAATTCTTGTTTCCAAACCTGTATGGCAGTAGGGTTTGTGTCTTTGGCCATTGATTTAATTAAAATCAGTGCTTTAGAGAGTGGTTTATTAATCTTTTTTGACGTAAATAATAAATCTATCAAATTACTTGAGTTAGATTTTGGTATTATAAGATGTATATTCATATAACTTTTAAGTCTTAAAAAATTAAACAACTCTCTAGAAGGGAGATTATATTCCCCTGTTATTTGAGCAAAAGTTTTGATTGATCCTTCTATCAATAATTGGTTCAAAGTCTTTATCCCTTCTTTTTTCCAATTATTTAAATTTAAATCTTCCACTTGTTTTTCTACAATGTCTAACTCTAAGTAGCTTGGGACTTTTTTTTCTATATTCATTGCTTTTTTAATTTTTAACCAGTTTTCTAATAATTGAGTTAAAATGATACTAGCATACTCTTTTTTCTTTGGCGTTTTGTTTATATTCCAAATTAAACATTCCAGGCTGGAAACTTCTCCTGCCTTCATTTCCATTTTATACCATCCCTCTTCTTTATTTTCTTTAATTTGCTTTCTATATACATGTAAGATAGTAGCTGCTTTGAAGTTATTCATTATGAATGGATAGTCAAGTCCACCTTTATGTATTTTCTGCACTAATATTGACTGCTTCAGTCTTGGCTTCTTGCCTTTCCAAATATATTGAGTAAAACTTCTTTGTATTAATTGAAGCCAATGGATTGGGATATGGAGGGGTAACATTTGAAACATATAGTTCCACTTTGGTATGACATATGAATTAATAACATTTATTCGTCCCCAAAAAGTAATCTCTAGATTTCTGCGTTCTTTTAACCATTTATTAAGTTTTAATAATAATGTTAAGAAATTTACTTCCATGATCTTGTTTATCTCTCTAGTTATTTTTATACCTAAGTAATCCATACTTTCTTTAACCCAAATAAAATCATATTTATTTTTAATCTCTTGTTGTATCTTTTTATCCAGGTTAACATCTAATATCAGAGATTTGTTTGTATTTAACTTATAATTTGATATGAAACTATATCGCTCTATTTCTTGCATTAAAAAATCTAAAGAATTTTTAGGGTTTGTAAGAGTAATTAAAATATCGTCAGCGTATAGACTGATTTTCTGATCCTCATCCATTGTTTTATAACCGTGAATCTCTTTATTATTTCTGATATTCTCAGCCAATGGCTCGATAGTCAGCAAGTAGAGTAATGGTGAAAGGGGACAACCCTGCCGAGTGCCATTTCTGAGTTGGAACCATGGGGCGACAATATTAGGTCCGATGGTCCGTGCAACTGGATTTACATATAACGCCATTATGGCTTTCTTAATCCAACCTTCCAATCCATAGTGCGATAAAACGGCTTCTAAGTATTTCCAGCTGACTCTGTCGAATGCTTTTTCAGCATCAATCGACAGAGTCAGAACTGGAACATCTTTTCTATTTGCATCATCCAGGATATTAATAATTTTCCTTATACTTGTATAGGAGTTTCTGCCTGGTACATATCCTATTTGATCTTTGTGGATAATCAATGGAAGAAGTTTTTTTAGTCTAGCAGCCAAAACCGAAGCATATAACTTAGTGTCTACATCTATTAAAGATATCGGACGATAGTTTTTGATGTCAGTGGGGTTTTTATCATTTTTCAAAATGGGCAAAATATTAGCTTTAAGCATTTCTGCTGGTAAAAATCCTCTGTTTGCTGCTGTATTAAAAGCAGAGGTCAAATGTGAACATATTAACTCTCTAAATGTTTTATAAAAAAGGTTGCTAAACCCATCCGGGCCAGGTGTTTTAGTTCTTTCTAGATCATTTATTACTTTCATAATCTCCTCGTGAGTTATAGGTTTATTCAAAAATTCGTTTTCATTGGGTGTTAGTTGAAACTTCCTTATATTATTTAGATAGTTTTTTATATCCTCATCTGTATTAATTTGAGGTATATTATATAGATTGGCATAATATTCATTAAAACACTTTCCAATCTCTCTAGGAGTTAATGCTATTTTTCCATTTTGTATTATTTTATCTACTTTATTTTGTCCTTTTTGTTTTCTAAGTTTTTGAGATAGCATCTTTTCAGCTCGATTGCCTTTAGAGTAATATTTAAGTTTCAATCTATCCATATTTTTAGCTATCATATCCATTGATTTTTGCTTTATTTTTTTCTTTAAGTTCTAATATTTTATCATAAATTACAGGAGATGGAGATTGTTTATTGCTATGAGTCATGTTTCTTAATTCTGTAAATAGATATGCCTGGGTATTTCTTTTATCAAGCTGACTTTGTAGCTTGATAATATGACCTCTTATTACAGCCTTAAAGGCACACCACAAAATAATTGGATCAGTATTATCTGAAATATTTTCTTTGAAGTAGTTTTTTATATTATTTCCTATGTAAGTTTTATTTGATTCACAACAAAGCAAATTGTCTCTTAGCCGCCAGGTATAGGCTTCTCTTTTAAATGTACTAAAAATCATTTCGCAAAAAACTCCATTGTGATCTGACCAAACTCTCTCCTCAATCTTTGTTTTTTTGGTCATATCAATAATACTTGGATCAACCCAAATCATATCCAATCTAGAATAAGAAAAATGCACTTTGGAAAAATGCGTATAATCTCTCTCAATAGGGTTAAAAATTCTCCAAATATCAAATAAATTATATTCATCTTTGATTTTTTTTTAGAGCCTTTGCTTGTTTTATCACCATCTGATTTAAAGTATTTCCTTTCATTAATTTTTTATCTATCTGAGGATCCGATACAGCATTAAAGTCCCCTGCCACTATTAACTTTCCCACTTTGACTTCATCTACTTTCTCCAAAATTGTTTTTAAATAAGCAGCTGGTGAATAATTAGGAAGATATATATTACATAATGTAAAAAGTATAGAGTCAATTTTGCATATTATTATTAAATATCTGCCTTTAGTATCTTGTATTTGATGGATTACTTCAACTTTAATCCTTTCTCCAAATACCACAGCTACTCCACATTTTTTTTTTCCTTATTAGAAGCTTGAATTATAAGTGGAAATCTTTTACCCCCCCAATTCTGTTTATCCGCTTGTCTCCAGTGAGTTTCTTGTAAAAATATTAAATTCAATTGTTTTTCACTGAGGTATTTATACAATAAATTTCTTTTCCCTATAGTATTTAATCCCTGAACATTAAGTGTGAGCATTTTTATCATATTATCTTCAACAACTTCTCTGCATCTCCTTCCACTCGATAACCATAACCCTTCCCTATTGCTGCAAAAACATACCAATACATACACACAGAACAAAATATTAAAATCATAGGAGGAAATCCTCCTTTTTTTACACAAAGACTGTAAGTCTCCATTTGGGGATTCAGTCTTTACTGTGTCTTTGAATTAGACACTAAGTGGGCGTGTCCAGAAAGAGGTAATAATATCTGTAAATTAGCGATCTTTCCCCAAGAGGGGGGGAGAAAAAAAAAAAAAAAAGAAACTTTTATCTTTACTTTGATTAAATCTATTACTTTCTACCTTATTGATACATGTGAATAAATT